ATGAGAGGGTTGCCACAACTCAGAAATTACTTGAAGGCATACACCAGCAACAAAGTTAAAGAATCAAGCACACACTGTGACACGTTTTTGAGCCTCTTTCAAGGCTAAAGAGTCTTTTGCATACAGTGTAGGATAAGAGATCAAAACTATATGTTGGAATAGAACAGTCAGGGCCTTTGCAGACTGCTAGAAATAGTGCAAATTGAGTCCACTTTAAGAGTTAGGGTTAGGGTTAGGAACTCATGGGAACTGTATTTTATTGTGGCACCAGAGCTCTCTGATAGAGAAGGCTCAATGTCTCAGAAAGAAAAACGCCAATTCCCATGATTCCCTAGCACTAACCCTAACCCTTAAAGTGGACTCAATTTGCACTATTTCTGGCAGTCTGCAAAGGCCCTCTGTTAAGGATATAAAAGAAAAGTTGATGTGGTTCTTTAGATTTGTGTGCTCTCAGGCAACATGTTTTCTTACAGACCTCAGCAGGGATGTTCTATGCAAGATGGGACATCAGAAAGATGTCCCCAAGCTGATCATTTTAGTCAGGTCATATTTTTATTCAGCCTACAGAGCTTGCTTTCGGGAAAAGAAAAGGTTTCTTTGTCAAATTTCTGCAGGCTAAAGAGCAAAATTTTTCAGACTGGGGTGTAATGGCCAAATTACACGGTGTCCACAAATGCGGGCAATGACAGCATATTTTTGTATCAGAAATGCTACTTATGAAGAAAGACATTGGGAATCACAACCAAAAAAAAAAAAAAAAAAAAACCACAACAGAATAAAGGACAACTGTACTGAATCATTTCTCAAACCATCATCTTCCCCACTATACCATGGCGGGTCATGAATGATTGGGTGATTAAGTGATAACTTATATAGTAATGATATGGGAAGAATAATAACATGGGAAGAAATGACAAAAAACAAGACTCCAGGAACAGATAATATTCCAGTAGAACTGTTGCAATCCACACTGACAGAGTCAACTCTAGTGCTAACCAACGTATCTCAACAGATTTGGAAAACAAAACGATGGCAAACAGATTGGAAGCAATCAATATACATTCCCATCCACAAAAAATGAGACACAAGAAACTGCAGCAACTATAGGACCATAGCACTAATCTCATGCAAGCAAAATTATGCTCAAAATACTGCAAGAGATACTCCAACCACACATGGAGAGAGAAATCACAGAGGTCCAAGCAGAGTTCAAGAAAGGAAGAGGCACCAGGGATCACACTGCAAACATACAATGGCTAATGGAGTGAAGCAGGGAGTTCCAAAAAAAAAAATCAGCATGTGCATTATAGCAAAACCTTTGACTGCATAGATCATGAAAAGCTATGGAATGCCCTTAAAGACATGGGAGTGCCAACACATCTGATCGTACTAATGAGGAATCTGTACTCAGGACAAGAGCCTACTGTTGGAACAGAACATAGAGAAACAAAAGGGCTGCGTCCTATCACCCTACCTATTCAACTTATATGCAGAACATATTATAAGGAAAGCAGGCTTGGACATGGAAGAGGGAGGTGTGAAAATAGGAGGAAGAAATATCAACAATCTGAGAAATGCTATATACTAGCAGAAAACCTCATAGATCTGGAACAACTACTAAGGAAGATCAAAGAAGAATGTGCAAAGGCAGGCTTACTGTTGAACATAAAGAAAACAAAAATAATGACCACAGAGAACTTACACACATTCAAACTAGACAATGAGGAAATAGAAATAGTAAAAGAGTTCTCATATCTGGGATCAAAAATTGAACAGAACAGGGACTGCAGCCAGGAAATCAGGAGAAGATTAAGAATGGGGAGGGAAGCTATGAAAGATGTAGAAAAGATCCTAAAATGCAAAGACATACAACTCAGCACAAAAGTCAGAATCATACAAGCCATCATATTCCCTATTACCATGTATGAATGTGAGACCTGGACAATCAAGAAAGATCAGAGGAAAATCAATTCATTTGAGATAATGTGGTGCTGGAGAAGAGTGCTGAGGATTCCATGGACAGCCCAAAAGATAAACAAATGGGTCCTAGAACAGATCAAGCCAGAGATATCCCTAGAAGCCAAGATGACAAGACTTAGACTGTCATACTTTGGACACATCATGAGAAGGCATGAGTTGCTGGGAAAGACAATAATGCTAGGTGGAAGGAAGTGGAAAGAGAGGAAGGCTGCATGTTAGATGAATAAACTTTATTAAAGAGACCACGAATAAGAGTCTCATCCATAGGGTCACCATGGGCCGAGACTGATGCGAAGGCAGTTAACAACAAAATGTGGGAAGAGTGTAATTAACTACCTATATAGATCACCATAAGTCAGAAATGTCTTGAAGGCACACAACAGCAACAACAATGCCTCCTCCATCCACAGTCTTCTTCTCTAGAAGCCTTTCCCTTGTTTAAAGAAAGAACCGATTGGTGATGTTATGGATTTGAGAAAAGCATGACATTTGCTCTTGGTGGAATTTCTCTTTACAAGCAAGTATTAATGAATGTCTGCCCCCAAAGACTGATCCTCACCTGCTCACTGTAAGCTGTGCAACAGCTTGGCTATGCTTTATTATCAAGCTTTCTCCCTTTAACCCAACTCTGCAAAGAATAAAATTACAATGAAGGAAGCTGGAGTTTTCTTGCCTAAAGCGCAGAAAACACAGAACTTAACAAAGCCTAGTGCAACATCCTATGAAGATAAAGTGTAACTTAGCAACCATGCAGTCTTGCATATGGGGAAGATTTGAGTGAGAAATTCTCTTTTAAAATCATGCTGTAAAATGTTCAGATATAAAGAGCACATTTTTAAGACGGAAAGAAAGGTAATAGTTAGAAAGGAGGGAAGGTAACAACCATAGAAAGAAAATTTAAAATGAAAACTAAAAAAAAGTCAGTCTCATCTGTCCAGATGGATGCTATCTACAGTTGCCCCTCATTTCTAATGGACTTAAAGTCAGCAGATTTTCATATTCACAGAGGGGCAACCTCTGTGAAAATAATGGGGGATGCCCCCGCAGGGTGCCCCCCATTCAGCCCTATGGAGCTTCAATACTCCTGAATCTACATTTTTGCGGGGGGGGGGCATCCAGAATGGATCCCTACAAAAACAGAGGGCAAACTGTACTTGAGTCGGGTCTGGGTTTCAGATCTTGTGTGTACTGTGTGCCTTCAAGTTATTTTCAACTTATTGTGACCCTAAAGCAAACTTATCATGACGTTTTCCTGGCAAGATTTGTTCAGAGGAAATTTGCCATTGCCTTTCCCTGAGGCTGAGAGTATGTGACTTGTCCAAGGTCACTCAGTGGGTTTCATAGCCAAGTGGGAATCAAAGCCTGTTTTCCAGATTCACAGTCCAATGTTCAAACCAAAGCCATGCTGGCTCTCTTTACAGAACTTATATTGTATAGTAGGTCTGAGAGACAACTCTAAGCTTTCATTTCAGGTGGTTCCAAGAAATAAAATGAGACTAAGGGCACATCTAGATTGATTGAAAAGTCTCACATTTTGTTTGGTTCTTTCTGATTTTATTTTGGGTTAAAATAAATAAGCCAGCCTGGAGAGCTGGTATAACAAGTCTCTGATCATACTGGGAGCTGACAGAAAATACTCTGGGATAAACAAAATGTATATGGATCAATAGTGGACTGCTACCATACTGCAGAAATAAAGCTGTTTGATACCACTTTCACTTCCATAGCTCAATGTTATGGACTTCTGGGAGTTGTAGTTTGGTGGGAGAACTCCCTGCCAGAGAACTCTGGTGCTCCACCAAACTACAAATCCCCAATTCTACTGAGCCATGGAAGTTAAAGTGGTGTCAAACAGCTTTATTTTTGCATTGTTGCAGCAGCCTAAGATCAGTGAAAGCTAACTCTTCAGAAGAAGCTGATTTTTGTTTGGTCTTATAGAGCAAAATGTTCCATCTCTGATGTTTGTGTACTAGCCAGTAAATTATTGAGTGTATAAATGACTTTTCTTAATCACTCCAAAGCTTGCATCTCATTTTGGAAAACTGATTGTTTTTTATATGTATACTTAGAGGCAAAGTTGATTATGCATCTGTATTCAGTTTTCCTAGTAGGGCTCCAAACTGCCAAATATTGAGCTTCTTCAGTTTACAAGGATTTCTCACAGTGTCCTACTGTCGGAGCAAAGAGTAAATAGGCTCTAAATTGCTGGTGTTGGTCTAGCATTAAAGATAGAGGAAAACATTAATCTAAATCACCAGGACAAGTTTACTTAAAGCACTGTACAGTTGGCCCTCATTATCTACAGACTGTACCATCCATGGCATTAAAATATTTTTTTTAAAAAATTCAAAAAGCAAACCTTGATTTTAAAAAGTAAGGACATCATTTTACTATGCCATTTTATATAATGGGACTTGAACATCCATGAACTTTGGTATCCGGGGGGGGGGGGGGGGGGGGGGGGAGCTGGAACAAAATCCCAAGGGTCCACTGTACAATAATTGTTTATCTTTCTCCCAACAATGGACTCAAGGTGCCTACAATGGCTAAAAACAAGACTGGCTTTTTTAAAAAAAACCACGTTTATTTAAAGCACAATAAAACAAATATCATCCTAAAATACTGTTACATTTAAAGAAGTATAACATTATTTAAATGTATAACAATAAAGTTAAATTCAAAGACATAGCTGTGTTAATCTGGAAAATCTTGCAGCACCTTTGAGATTAACTTGAGCTTTGGTAAGCTTGAGCCTACTTCAAATTAATTTCCTGCAAACGCATCTGAGGAATTAGGCTCAAGTCTAGAAAAGCTCATGCTACCTACTTCTATCTTTCAGTTATAATGCAAATTGAGTCCACTTTAAGGGTTAGGGTTAGTGCTAGGGAA